AGATCAATCAGATAAAATCAACATGACCTTAGTAAAAGTTTTCTGGTTTTCGAGATATTGCCACTTTTAAGTTGTTTTAACAAATGTCTTCTGCCTGTTATTATATGTTTTTTTGCAACTATTAATAGTTGGTTGAGACAACGGAGTATTCATTTCATTGAAAGCTAGCACGGTATGCAAAAAAAATTATTACATTTTGTTTCAATGTCAAAACTTTTACTAAAGTTTGAGTAGTGAAAAAAAAATTAGCAGAGTGAATCGGCAAATGATCTTAAAAAGTAGCCTATGTAATGCTCTTTTAAAAATATTATTGTTTATTTGTAGTATTTCGCAAGTATTACGACTTAATGACAAAACTTGGAGTTGTTCAGTTTTAGTAAAAAGAACCTGAGAAATGTTATACTATTTTTGAAAGTCAGTTTTTAAGATCATTTGGTGATTTACAGTCTGGTACCTTTTTTTTACAGTAATTAGTCAAACTTTAGTAGAGGTTTTCTTACTGAAACCAAATGTAATAATTTAGTCCTTTTAGCATATCGTGCTAGTTTTCAACGAAATGAATAATCTTTTGTCTCAACCAACAATTAATGGTAGCCCAATCATAAGTTAGAAGTTCTTTATAGCTATAAAAGGCGAAAAAGGAGCAAAAGGTAGAGATTTTTTTGAAAAAAGGCAATATCTCGAAAACTGAAAATTTTTAACTGTCATGTTGATTTTATCTGATTGATCTTAAGCCAATCTACCTTTTGTGTCACTCTGGTGTGTTATTTCTGGGTCACCCTGTATAAACATTCTACTGAAGCAGTCAATATGTTCTTGCAAGATTTTATAGATTTTGTGAATTATTTTCTATAAAAAAGTTAACAACGATAAATGCTAATAATAGACAAAAGTTAAGGCTATGAGACAAGAGAGCTTTACCAACGTAACAAAATAATCCTGTGGTTTTTTATGCTGATAAAGTCCACCACGTTTGTTTGGTCACTGAATGAAACCACACACATGTTTGAAACTCTTTTTACTGATCAATAAACAGTAACAGTATTCCAAACATATGTTATGTGGTTTCACTCACGCGTTACGATATTTTGGCATCTTCAGGGGACTATCAAGTTTTAGTCTTCGTCGATACGCCAAAGAATCCAATGTATGAAAGCTAAGCCTTTGTAATGATTAACATCAAAAATATTTGACGAGTTTTTGCTTTTTCTGTCTATTTCTAAATAATACCAACTTTTTTAAGATGTGGTCGTACGGAAAAGCTATTCAGGGATGTAAACGATACAGTAAATTGAACAAATTAAGTTTCATAATAAAAGTATTTTTTATCCCCTGTAGGACACTTATACCAATAATTAATGGCTTCTTGAATCCAGGTGTACAAGCGACGTTTCCCAATGAAACGTTTAATGAATGTCACCCATCAATTTTTTATTTCTTGATGGGGGGTTATTAATTCACCCTCAAAAAAATAACTCCGTTAAAAAATACGTTTATACTTGTTTTTCTTAGAGCAGCCTTCATTTTTGGCTAGTTAGCCTGATCTATTTGTAATGACGCTTGCTTCCGGCGGCGGCGTTGCGGCGGCAAAAAAGTGCTCTTGAATTTTACATGACAGGCCGTATATGCCACGCTGCCTGAACTTCAAAGCCACTTATGTTTCCTAGTGTCCATTTCGTGAAGCCCTGAAAAATAAGGCGTGCATTAAAAACAAGAAGGAAAGGAACGCGATGTGAATGCGGTGTTGCAAACCATAGGCGTATGAAAATACCGAGGGACTAACTAACCACTGGTACTTGTTTGAAACACATGATCTGGCTTCGTTTAGATTTTTTTGGATATTTGTGGAAATCAGTA